CCGCCCCGCTGGGCGGGGCCGACGCTCGCTCCAGCGACGCGCTCCGCTCTTACGGCCCCGCGTCCACACGGAGAGTCACGCACACGCTCGCAGGGCGGCTGCTGCCGGGGAGGTGACAGCGAGCTCTGCTGCAGAGGGACCGGGGACAGGCATGACGATGGCCACAGCCCAGTAAGGCTGCATCGAACCGTGCTGGGATTCGGGTATTAACGGGGGGTAAGGAACAGAGCTGTGCTCCAAAGAGAGCCGACAGCCTACAGCCGAGAGCAGCTTGCTGGAGATCAGCTCTGGGACTCAGCTGGGCGGAGGAAGAGGACAGGCACCAAACCCCACCTCGCTCACAAAGGAAGAGCCACAGGGCTTCTACATCTGCTGCAAATCACCAGGGAAACATAACAAACAGGCAGAGAAAATCCTGATCCAGTTTTCAGCAACTCAGTTTGTCGATGGGCACTTTCCTGCGAATATCACTGCAAATCGCCCTCCTGCCACGCCGTCCCCGTGCCACCGAGCTGCCCCCCAGACAGACCAAGGGGGCACTGCTGCTCCTGCCCGGGGGGATGCTGGAGGCACAACCAGCTTCCAGGGAGAGCAGGCAGATCCCCGCAGGACGGTACCTCGGCCCCATCACATCTGACTCTGCAGCGACCGCTGGCTCAGCTTCGCACAGTCCTGCCCTCCCGCCCCAGGCACCTGCTGGGAACGGGGCACTTGGCACAAAACGAACCTTTGCTGTGGACCAGCACAACCATCTTCATGCCTCCTTCCACCACTGGGACCAGCTAACAGGTACCAACACCCCCCAAGCACCACCGCCGGCTGCAAAGCCGAGAGGCAGGGATGTCCCCAGTAGCAGCCCAGGCCACCCCAGCTGCAGCACTCACGTTGATGAGGGCCATGATCCAGAAGGCGTAGGAGACGCGCGTGACCACCATGCCTTTCATCGGCAGGTCGTAATGAGACAGGTTGCCTGGGTGGTGCGGGACCAGGGACTTGCGGATGTGCGGGAGGTTGCTGGAGGCGTTGGCCGTGGAGTTGGAGAGGATGCAGTTCGTGTCCGAGAGGAAGGGGTCAGCGATCAGGGGGCTTAGCAGCGCTCCAAAGCCCACGAAGAAATGAAGGGCCTGCAAGAGATGAGACACGCAAGTCGAGCAAGCAGGTTTACTGCTCTTCTCTGCAGCGACGCCGGCCGAGCCCCTCACTCCTCTTCCTCGGAGCCAGAGAGGAGACGCGGGCTCTGAGCTCACCTGCAGGAAGATGGCTGAGTCCTTCTGGTAGATCTTCACCAGCTGCATGTTGGAGATGGTGTCGATGCAACCCATGGCCAGCCCTGCCACAGCCATGACCACAGCCAGGACCACCACATTGTGGCACAGAGGGATGATGGCAAAGACCAAGGAGATTGCCAGCGACGAGGCGAAGAGCGCGAACAAGGACTGAGCCAACCTAGACAGGGAGAGAGGAAAGGCAGGACAGAATTACTACCACGAGAGCAGTGCCCACAGCACAACCCTGCCTCCCGTCCTCAGCCCCGGGTCAGTCAGTGGCGTGGGCATTAGCAGGAGATGGACCCACAGGCTGTAGCTCCAACTAACGCAGCTCCAGCAACGCTCCTCTGCCAAGGCAAGGGAGCTGCTTCGCACCCTGCAGCCCCACGCCTCCGCGTCACCGCCAGCCTAGGGCACTGCCATCTCCTGCGCGGAGGGCGATGCCTCAAAGGGGCAGATCTTCCACCCAGCTTTCACAGAGCAGAGTAACCACCCCTTCAAAATCCATGTTCTGCACATTTCACGGCAGAATAAGGCCTGAGAACCTTCCCTTGTTAACTTGGACAGATCTGGGAATGGAAAGGGACGCGGGTACACGCAGGCAAGGCTGCACCGTGACTTCCGAGCAGCTCCAGGGCACCTCTCACGCAGGGCTGTATCGTACAAGCAGGCGTGAGAGCTGCAATCCCAGTTCCCGGCAGGGAGAGAGCTGCTGGCATCCACATCACC